CTGTTCGAAAATACTTGCGCGGAAAGGTGTTCCCACGAAATATGTGAACATCCTTCGTGCTCTATACTCGAACACTAGAGGCCGCGTCAGGGTCTATGGTGTCCTGTCAGATAGCTTTTCGACTACAAGTGGCGTTCGACAGGGTTGCCGGATTTCCCCATTTTTGTTCAATTTCGTCGTGGATTCTATCATGGAGTGTTCCCTTGCGGAATCTCACGATGTAGGTGTTGAAGTGCTGCCTGGTGAACGGTTAGTTGACCTAGATTATGCGGACGATATCGTCTTGCTTTTCGACAATGTTGAGGCGGCACAATCAACCCTGAATAGCCTGTCCAGAGTGGTCCCATTATTTGGTATGCACTTCGCACCTTCAAAGTGCAAAGTGTTGCTGCAGGACCCCCAGCCACTCGATGACCCCTTGACGCTTGCTAACGAGGAACTCGATGTGGTTGATCAATTCACTTATCTTGGCAGCTGCATCAGCAATGATGGGCGCATAGAAAGTGACGTTAGCTCACGCATTGCAAAGGCCAGAGCTGCCTTCTTGAACCTGCGTCATATTTGGCGACAGAAGGGAGTTTCCCTCCGTCTGAAAGGCCGTGTATACAAGGCCACAGTGAGGGCCGTTCTGCTTTATGGTAGTGAAACTTGGCCCCTTCGGTCTGAAGATCTGAGGCGCCTTCAAGTCTTTGATCATCGTTGTTTGCGAAGCATTGCTGGTGTCGGATGGCACCAGCGTGTCCGCAACGATGATGTGCATAGGCGAGTACTAGGTGGTGATGATCATGCTAGCTCCCTAGAACAACAGATAGCACTGAATAAGTTGCGTTGGCTCGGGCACGTGCTACGCATGCCTGGTCACCGCTTACCTAGGAGGGCCTTGTTCAGTCTACCAGGTGTAGGATGGCGCAAGGCTCGAGGTGGACAGAAGTTGACTTGGCAGCCGGAAATGAAGTCACTGACGACCAAACTGGGTGCCGTTGGTCCGTCTCGCCTTCCGGGTGGAGTCCACGTGACTCACCTTGTGCTTGGCTCGAGACTTTACAGGACATGGCTCTCAGTAGACACCAGTGGCGCGTCTGCTGCCGTCTCCTAATCGGATTGTCTGTTTAAAGTGTGTTTGGTGCTGAGTTATCTGTGGGGTAATGGCTGATTATGACGCGTGGCAGTGAAAGCCGCAAGGAAGCTGTCTCGCCGATGTCGCCTTATCTTTGCACGATAGCCAGCTGTTTGTGACGGTATATTGTCTACACAAGGTGTAGGCGCCTTGACCCTGAATGTTTGCTTAGGGCATTAAGGTTTTCAGGTAAGTCCCCCTTCTCTCCCTCTTGTTCTTTATTTCATAGGTCCTCATGGTTGTATGGCAGCGAAGCATCAGTTCAAATGGCTGATGTACTACTGTTGATGATGATGATGATGACGAGGCTATTCGATGTAGTTCACCTGCTAGTGTATCATGCGAACAGATTATTTCTACTCTACTGACCAGATTATGAATTAAATTCCGTTTCAGCCTCAGTGGCACGAAGCTGTGAACTTGGTGTGCTGGCCGTTCCACGAGCTTTTTCTATATATTTGGCACTGTTGTATCCCGCTATCGAAGTACGCTGACATGCGAGTTGAGTAAGCGCTCACTGGAGACAATTGATGGTCACTGGTCACATGTTCACCAGACCTTACTAGCAGCAGGCAAATCCTCATGTGGTATGTCTAATAGCCAACATGGTTATTGGGTCTCTTCACGGTCTCTAGAACTTATCGATGCTCGCCGGCATATCCCGGCTGGAAGCGAACACAATGAAACTCGCAAAGAGCTCCGGGCAAGACTTCGTGCTAGCCTGAAAAGAGACCGCGAATCTTGATGGTCTCATCTTGCGTCAGAGATGGAAGTGGCCGCTGCCCTTATCAACCATCGTAAGTTATTCCGTCTGATACGGGAAACGGGCAACAGGAGACCTGGTGTTAGTGAAACTATACTTGACAAGAGTGGACAGCCTATCCACAATTTGTCACAACGTTTGGAGCGTTAGGCTGAGCATTTTGAAAAGCAATTTAATCGGCTAGAATTGTTCGATTCGCCGGTCACTGATCGCCCTGCTCCGTGGGCTGTCCCTTTGGATCTGCCCTCTTGCTCAGAAGTCGAACGTGAGATCGGACTGTTGAAGTTGAACAAAGCCGCAGGACCAGATGATCTTCCTCCAGCCCTCTTCAAGTTCGGAGGCTCTGCTCTTGTTGATGCTTTACATGAATTACTAGTGAAACTGTGGGCGCAGGAGACTGTCCCAACCGACTGGAGCCGCTCCGTTATTGTTCCCATCTTCAAAGGCGGCTCGCGCTCGGAATGCGGCAACCATAGAGGAATCAGTCTGATCTCCATCGCCTCCAAATTACTCGCCTCCATAATTCTTCACAGACTGACTGGCGCTCTTGAAAGCCAGATTTGTGAGGAGCAAGCTGCGTTTCGTCGTGGTCGTGGCTGCATCGACCACATCTTCACCTTGCGTCAGTTGTTGGAGCACCGTCACACATATTGGCGGCCCACCGTTGTCGTGTTCCTCGACATCAGCGGTGCCTTCGATTCGGTTGATCGATGTGCCCTTTGGAATTGTCTACTCAGGAAAAGTGTGTCCGAGAAATATGTAAATATTATCCAAGCATTATATGCGCGTAGCACGGGCAGAGTGAGGGCTTACGGCAAGCTGTCGCCACCCTTCAATATCTCCAGCGGTGTGAGACAAGGATGCCCGCTGTCACCTTTCCTCTTCAACTTCGCTATTGACGGAGCCATGGAGTTCGCATTTACAGGACATGACTTGGAAGGTGTGGAGCTACTCCCAGGAGAACGACTTCTTGACTTGGAGTATGCAGACGACATTGCCCTAATCTGTGACAGCTCCCAGACGTACCAAGCCGCGCTGGACAGATTAGCACTGGCTGTCAGCTGCTTCGGGCTTTGCTTTGCACCATCGAAGTGCAAAGCGTTCCTCCAAGATTGGCAGGGATTGCCTCCTGCGCTGACCCTTGGTGGGGATCAGCTAGAAGTCGTTCGGAAATTCAACTACCTGGGAAGTTGTATCAGCGCCCTTGGGATCGAAGACGAGATCACGAACCGTAAAGCGAAAGCTCGAAGTGCTTTTGCTAACATTCGCCACCTATGGCGGTGGCGCGACATTACTCACGCCCTGAAGGGTAGAGTGTACAATGCAGCGGTACGTTCGACCCTACTGTACGGTTGCGAAACCTGGCCCCTAAGATCGGCGGACATGAAGAGGCTAGTTACGTTCGACCATCGGTGCCTTCGCAGTTTGGCTCACATCTGGTGGGAACACCGCGTGAGTAACGAGCGTGTTCGACGCATTGTTTACGGCCTAGGAAAAGGATCTGAATCGCTCAGCACCGTTATTTCCCGCACCAGGCTCCGATGGTTCGGCCACGTGTTGCGCATGCCAACCCATCGACTTTCACGACGTGCGTTGTCTGCTCAACGGGGATGTGGGTGGAAGAGGAGAAGAGGTGGCCAAGCGATGACTTGGTCCAGGGGAATGAAGTCCCTCACTTCGGAGCTAGCCTCGGTTGGAGCGTCACGGCTCCCTGGTTGGGGTCCAAAAGACGATGAACACGTTTGGCTGGATACACTTGCTGATATGGCTGGGAGCCGACCTCAGTGGCGTTCATGCTGTGTTTCTTTGTCCCTCCCCATCCCTTTTAGCCTACCGTCTATCTACGAGCTCATTTCTTAGCGTAAAACAATAATTTTTCTTTTTGCCTAGTAGCCGGCTGGTAGCTTACCGGAACGATGCCTATCCGTTGCTGGTAGCTCAGCTGGCATGCAACTTTTGTATTGTTTCTTTTTCACTTATGTATTGCGGCACAGTAGCTGAGGTGTTTCCCACCTCTAGCTGACGTGTATAATGATGGTGAGGCCCACGTCCAGCAAATGAAAACAGTCATTTTCCTCTGCGCGGTGAAGTGCATTACATTATGGGCTCGGTTAAAGGTGTTGGTGATATCTTCAATATTCTGAGAGGACTGAAACATCACAAATATGTCATCAACATAACTGCGGTAGGGGTTAAAACGCGACGGTTGATTTTAGATTCCCTTGTTCAAGCATGCCCATGAAGATATCAGCAAGTACTGGCCTAAGTGGCGAGCCCATCCCCACTCCATCTCGCTGTCTGTATATCTCCCCGTTAAATACACATTGAACGTTAAACGTTAATCTGAACAGCAGTTCTTCCAAGGCCACTGTGGGTATGCCGATATTAAGCCCAGTCCCCTCAATCTATTCGCAGATGTAATTTATTGTCTCAAATATCGGTACATTTATGAACAATGAGGTGACATCAAGAGAGCACATGGTTAGACTCTAGGCATTTACATCTTTTATTGCCTCTACAAATTCAAAGCTATCCTTCAAGCTATGCGCTACTATCCGCTTTCGCATGACCTCAAGTATCTCAACCGGCCACCGTGCCGTAGTGATAAGGTGGATGCTTCATATCCAAGACTAGCTTCAGCGCGACATTTGGAATGTGAGTTTTGAGCGAACTGTAGAGCCTAGGAATAACCGTACTCACAGAACGCACATACTCGTAAACCTCTTTAGTGATTTTACCCTGTTTTAACGACTCAGTAGTCTGTCTAACCGATGTAATTGGTGTATACTTGTACTAGCCTGATGAAGAATTATCGAAAACTTATGTTCGCTAACATTGACTTTTGATCTATAAGTATCCGTTCATTTCACACTGCCTGTATCCGTTTTCAGTATGTGCTCCCGAAACTTGCCTCCAGGTGTTTACTTCGATTCGAAGCTCGCATAGGACTTAATTTCGATCGGAACCAAATTAAAAGAGGCAAATCTAACAACAAGAAGCCCAGTGATATCCACTATTATCCTCTCACCTGTTACAGAGCCGCACCGACAGCAGTGTCTGCATTACTCGTCAGAGACAGTAGTGCGGTTGGGTCTGGATAACCGAGAAGTGCTACGTTTTAATAGCTTTTTTCGACTTCTCGGAAGTCACTGGAATATCGTTTAGGAAGTGAAAACTTCACTGTTTACCGCGAAGCAAGTCAATCATTGGTTACATATTGCTCACGCAGTCCGCATGCCAGCACACCGACTCCCACGACGTGCATTATTTGCGCGCCGGTGGTGCGGTTGAAAGAGGAGGAGGAGGGGAGGTCAAGTGATGACTTGATCGAGTGAGTTAAAAACTTTCACTTCGAAGTTGGCGTCGGTTGTTGCATCCCGACTACCTGGCTGGGGTCCTAAGGACGATGAACACGCTTGATTAGACATACTTGCTGCTATGGCGAAGAGCCGGCTCCAGTGGCGTTTGTGTTGTGAATTACTTTGTCCATCCCCTCCCTTTTAGATTCCCCTTCCAATTCCGATCTCACACGAAATGCATAATATGATATTTAACATTGTATTACCTGCTTTTGAATTTTTTTGTAGTGTAGCTTTGTGTCTTACCTTTTTGTGTTGCGTCACATTAGCTGAGGTGTGTTTCTCACCCTCAACTAACATGTATCGATGATAGTGATGTTCGCGCAGTTAGTATTGGGGTTTCGGCAGTAGTTGACTAGGTCAAAGAATCGGCGAAGCTTTTTGACGGAGCTAGGAGCAGCGTAGTCCTTCAGTACCTAGAACCAACGGCGCATATCTAGTAGCCAAGGAACTCGGTGCAATGTCGGCCAAGTTCACATTTGTCAGGATTAACGGTAACCCAATGTTGCATCAATCGTTGGAAAAGAGCATCATGGTGGCGCTGTTCACCGTCAGAAGAGCTGATGATGTGGATGTCATCTAAGTATGGAAAAATGTCTTGAACTCCTGTTACCTCGTGAATGAAACACTCAAAAGTCTGAGCAGCGTTGTTGAAGCCGAAAGACATTCTGAAGTACTCAAAAAGACCAAACGGGGTCTTAAGAATATCGTCTGGTGCTACAACTATTTGATGGTAGGCACCAACTAGGTCTGTTTTTCAGTACAACGATAGCACATTTTAACAGAATACACTATATTCAGCAGTTTCGTGTGTCCTCTTCAGTTGTTTACATACAATTTGTAGAATGAACAGGTTTCTTATCAAAAACAATCAAAATGCGATGTTATCGGTAAATTTTGCTATGGGCTGCTTTATCAGCCAGAGTTGTTTTCAACTCGTGCATTTGAGGGTTCGGATACTTATCCTGCTTGGTCACCTTATTGAGAGCTGCAGGGATGTCAGTAACCGGACTCCTTTTGCACCGTGTGCAATGGTGATGTCCATGTCTTGGTGGATTATTCCGAGTTTGTGCATTTGATCGAATTCCGTCCTGGCCACCCTATGTTTGTTGGTGGCTATTTTGCGGCGGTGGGTGGAAACAGTTGATCGTCATCAATACCTGTTAGCTGGGGATGAGAAGCACACCTCAGCTAATGAACGGCAATGCAACATCTATTCTAACTCGTTAAAGGCTGTGCGACAGGCCTAAAGCAGGTCCCAGTGGCTTTCTGCGGTTACACTCCCGAGCTGGACTTGCTCCCCACTGCCTTGTAGATCAGGTCATTGAGCCAAAGGATCCAGGCGGAGTCACTCAAGCGAACCTCCATGTGCCCCACTGCCTTGTGGGTTAGACTGTTGAGTCAAAGGCTAGAGGCAGCGCACCTCGAACAAAACCCCTATCTTGGAATGGGCAACCGAAGATTATCATCTGCCCTCTCAAACACCTCGACGATAATCCCTCTTTATCCTTTATCTCCTTTTCCTTCTCCATCTGCTGAGCAAGAGACTGCCGCTGAGCTCGCAGCTGTTGCCATCCATACATGTAGCTCTTCCATCAAGCATAGAGTTTTACTTCACATTGATTATTTCAGTCTCCGCACTCTAGGTCAAATCGGCCAGCAGACGGCACTGACTCGCACTCTTCACTCTTGGCATTGGTGTGTGCTGTGACTCTGGAACACATATACGAGATAACAGTGTTATGTATGTATGTATGTAATCTCAACTGTCTAGTAACTAGACATAGACAGTGTTATGACAAGTCTCCGACCCCCTGGTTCTGATTCAGATGGCAATGACTACACTGTTCGCTTTTCTGACAATATTAAGTCAATGGCTCAAGGTATTTACAGTGTTAGTATTGCCCTCAGCAAACATGCTGAAGTCAATCAGCTCGACTGGATACTGGTGAACAGCTGCATGTGTGCGGTTCGACTTCGAACCCCTATTGGAGTAAACAAGCAGCGTCTGAAGGCAAGATGCATTTTTATCGCCACGGTTTATGCTCCCTCTGGATGCGGTTCAGGGGGTATCAAAGACGATTTATGTCAACAGCTCATCTTTTCCTCGCATGGCGAAGTTCACTGACATCGTGATTGTTGTTAGTGACATGAATGCTCAAGTGGGTCGCTTTTCAGACTGAACAGCACCTGGGATGCTGTTTTGGAGTCGTTGCACGTCGTACAGACAATGGCGATCGATTTCTGCAACTTTACGCCGACAACAATCATTGTATTAGCAGCGCTACTTTCCAGCACCAACGTTCGCACCGCGTCACATGGCACCGAACTCTTCAAAGACCTGGACCCAAATTGACCATATTACCATCAGCTACAGATGACACACATCAGTCTACGACTCTCGGTCACTTTGGAACACATATATGGATTCTGACCATGCTCTAGTGTGCGCGCGCTTGGCGCTCACTCTTCCCGCTTCATAGAAGTGCCTATCTTTTAATATTCTTACCTGTAACTTGAACTCGCAATCCGTTCAGCAATATCATGACGGACTAGCCCACCAATTGTCAGTGGTGTATGAAGTTGGTGAACCGAACACTGTCTGTAATCGTCTCAAATATGTCATGAAGAATGCCTTTGACGCTTGCTGTGCACCCAGCTTGAGACGTCATAACTGAGGATGGGTCTCAGAGGCATCGATCAGCTTGATGGAAGCACAGGAACCGGTTCCGACGGGCATTCGCTTTGCGGACGACATAGCTCTTTTTGAATCTGATGTAGTGACTTTGTAAACGCTTCTGGATAGACTGACACGTAGCGCATCACCTTTCGGCATGTGGTTTGCACCTTCAACGTGCAAAGTACTGCTGTAGGACTAGACCGACACATACGGTTCTGATTATTGGGTGGAGGCAGCCACTCGCTTAGGAGCTCGTCCCGCTGCGTCAGCTGCGGTGGCTAGGACAGGTACTGCGCATGCCCGCTCATCGTCTTCCGTGACGGACATTTTTCGCGGTTGCTGTACAGGGCTGAATGAGACGGCGCGGTGTCCAACATACAACATGGAGAAACCACATTAAAAATCTGTCGAAACAGTTGACCTCCTTCGGTTGTTCTCGACTCCCTAGTTGAAATACAGTGTCGCTGGTTGAAGACCCTAGAAGTCATGGCTCGGGACAGACGTCAGTGGCGAATGTGTATCTCTGTGTGCTGCGGTGATTTCCCTTCCCGAATAAAAAACTCAAAACTGTGGGTGAATAAAACTAGTGAAAAAATGCTCCATGTTCTTTTTCCTCCAATTCGTATCATGTTCACTTATTCCGCCATGATTCTGATAGCACGATATCCGAACCAACAATTGTGCTTTATAAATAAATAAATAAATAAATATATATATATATATATATGTATTTGGTTGGCGGCATCCGGCTTCGGATTTGCCTGTCACTTTGGCCAGCCACAGGACGCCTGCGCCTACAGAGGGACCATGTGTGGCTTGCGCTGCACCACCCACAGTTCCATCCACACACCCCATATCCAGTGTAAACCCGAAGGAATAATACCGAGAGGCATGCGGATGGGAGCCACGTTTCATCACCGGAGCCGGCCCACACTCCTTCACAGGCAAACATACGCACGCTGTATTTGGGAATTAATTGCACACAAGCCGGTGGTTGGACCGTAGTCCGCTCCACACTGAGTGCATGGAACTACTCATTTATCTTAACATGGCCACAAGGACCGCGCACCCCGTCCCCTCCAGCAACGACCAACTGTCTCCTGGAGCTAGTATGGACGAGGTAGTGGGTAATAGACAGATAGGCACCTTGTCGACATTTACATCAAGTGCAGCCACACCGGTGATATCAAGCAACAGTCAATCACTTGAAACGACAAGATGAAATAAAATAATTCGGGTAGTGCATAGAGATACGGAGACATAACTCTTCACTAAATGGGCGTATAAAAATTAATTACAAACGAATCCGCGATAAGTTCGAAGTCAGAAACAACATTTTATGGGAATGCCACATGCGCGAAGATGTTATCGAAATAAACTACAATTAGCTTCAGCGACGTACGCAAGTTTATAGAGGATAGTACAGGTAGAGATTAATATGAGAAGGAAAAGCATTAGGACAAAATTGCAAACACGCTACCTGAAATATAGAGACTCAGCATGCAAGCACGCGGTTAGTAAATCGAATGCAGCGAACCTACAAACGCTGAGCCGGTTCTTCCTATGTTCTTTGCATGACACGTCGTCGCTTCGGTGGTGTTTCCGAGCTGCATCGCTCATGGCTCACTAGGCCTGCCTGACTCAGGCACTAGCGACCGCATGTGCTACAGCACCATGCGCTCGATGTCGATAGAGTACAACCCATCGGCATCTGTCGCTTCCGCAATTGCCGCTTCTTCTCTGCATGCATGAGGTCTTTCTTCCGCACTTCGGCAACTACCTTCGTGATCAGGTGACGTCATGCACGCCGATCAACCGCCTTCGATTCCCGATGGCTGGGCCACGTGTTGCGCATGCCAGTCCACTGACTTCCACGACGTGCGTTGTTTGCGCGCCGGGATGTGAATAAAAGAAGAGGAGGAGTGGCCAAGCGATGACTTGGCCCAGAGGAATGAAGGCCTTCACTTCTGTGCTGACCTCGGTTGGAGCGTCACGGCTCCCTGGTTGGGGTCCAAAAGACGATGAACACGTTTGGCTGGATACACTTGCTGATATGGCTGGGAGCCGACATCAGTGGCGTTCATGCTGTGAGTTTCTTTGTCCCTCCCCATCCCTTTTAGCCTACCCTCCATCTACGAGCTCATTTCTTAGCGTAAAACAATAATTTTTCTTTTTGCCTAGTAGCCGGCTGGTAGCTTACCGGAACGATGCCTATCCGTTGCTGGTAGCTCAGCTGACATGTAACTGTTGTATTTATTTTCCTTTTCCTTTACGTATTGCGGCACAGTAGCT